TTTTTCTAGAAAAGGTGGACTTAGCACCTTTTCACTTTTGGCTAGAATATAAGAGAGTTTATTTTTACTGGTTTTTACAGGTCCAACGCAATGATATTATTTCTAAAAAAATTTGCGAAATTTGCTGGCAGCGTATATTCGATTTTCACAGCTTTTGGTTGACTATAGACGGAAAGCAAAAAACACTACAAACGCATTTAGCTGGTACTGAAATAAAACCAGATTTTGATGCCTTTGAAACTGAAGAATTCCCAGGAACTAATTTAAGCTCCCACATCCACTATAAAAGTAGTGAGTTGCGTGAGCCGGAAATCGACATAATTGGCGTGAAAACTAATGTATTCGTAGATGAATTAGAAATTGAAGTAAATCAAATTAAGGATGTAGATATCAAAGAAGATCATGTTTCTATTCCGACTCTATCGCTTACTTCTGACAAAGAAAGTAAGATTTTTCTTGTTCAAATGTAAATTTCGCAATAAATAAATATATTACTTCCAGCAAAACAAGCCGTTGGAGTTAAAAACAGTAAAAAGCGTAACCCCAATAAAAAGAACTCTTCAAAGGCAACGGGAAGGCATGCAAAAAATCTTAAAAAATCAAAAGTAAGCATCGGACCGAAACACGATAGTAAAGACATTGAAGATCTAGGTTCAAAAGCAAAAGCGAACGCATCACAAGACTCACAACTATCAATGCGGGAAGTGGATGAATTTATAGCAGCAAACACACAATTGACCTGTTGCCTTTGTTCGGCACCACTTAAGAATTTCACTGAATTAAAGAAACATTTTCGGGTGGATCATCATTGTAACGGATATGTTACTTGCTGCAATAATCGTTATCTCAGACGAACATTGTATGTCGACCATCTCAAATTGCATATGGATCCAGATTTCTTCAAGTAAGAACACTGATTTTAAAATACAATTTTAAACATAATAGTTAACTTAAAATACCCAACTAATTTTCGTATATTAACGCCTACAGTGCACATTAATTTTAATCCCTATTCATTTTATATATTACAATTTCTTATTAAATTTCTATTTAATGTAAGTATAGATGTGCAATATGTAATAAACAACTTAAAAGCCGGAATAATTATAAAAATCATATGAACACAAGGCATCCGGATGAAGAAAAATTGCTTTATCAATGTAAATCGTGTCCGCGCAAATTCGCTAAACGATATATATTGGATTATCACCTGAAGTATAACCATCAACCAGAACGTAATCATATCTGCAAAACTTGCAACAAGGGGTAAAATATCTTAGAGACAAGCTGTCATTTTTATAATTTTTTTTGTTTAAGGTTTATAAATTCTTCAGTTTTAAAACAACACGAAAGGACCGTCCATTTGAATGCTTCTAACTCTGTATGTGAAGTGTGCGGAAAGTGTCTAAAAACACAACAAAATCTGCTTACGCATATGGAAGATATGCACAGTAGGGAACCTCGTCCAGAAGTGCAATGCAAAATTTGTCAAAAGTGGCTAAAAAACATACGTTGCCTTAATAAACACATGATTGGACATCGCGACCAAACATCTGGACAACCATTTAAGTGTACACATTGTGGAGCAGAAAAGAGTACCAGGCATGCTCTTACCTCCCATATACGGTATCATCACTCAGGCAGAACTTTTACATGTACAATGTGTAGCAAAGAATTTAAAAGTCCACGCGCTTTGAAGGTAAATTCAAATGTAAAATTGTTTGGAAAGATTCGAGTTAAATATCTATTTATTTACTATATCTGTAGGAACATGAGAGTACGCACACCGGTACGTATTTATATACCTGTCCATTTTGTCCCAAGACGTTCAGATCGCATGGTAACATGCACAATCATAGGGTGAGTCATTCGGATAAATATGTTCCTAGCCATTCACAACCAAACGAGGCCACTAAAAGGTTCCTTAATACATTACCAGAAAATGGAAAGCACATTTAAAAAATAATAATAATAATAAAAAATTGTATGTTTAGTTTTCTTTTTTTAGGATAGCGGTATTTCGATTTAACTGTCTGGGACCTAAAATTTAAGCATTTGAATTATAGGGAATCAAACAAAAGCTAAACCTTAAATAACTGATCTCGAATGGTAGCCATGAAAACTCCCTCCGCTGCTTTTCCTTTGACATATGTCAACCTGAAAACAGTCAATGTCGTGATAGTTGTTTTCTCCGCGCTTTCAGTCGTTCTTCTTGTTTCTTCGCTTGTTGTTGTTGTTGTAGCGGCTACTAAGCCCCGTTCGGGGCGGTTCATCCATCAACGTTGTCGTCAATTTCAGCTAGGGCGAGGCCCAGGAAGTGTGCGACTTCCACAGGGGCTGTCCATAGGGACAGGGGCGTTAGCTGAGTGGGGTTCTCAGGGCATGTGAAGAGGTGCCGGGAGTCATGTGGCGACTCTCCACATGCCGGGTATTGGTTGGGCACATCCTCGTTGATTCTACTCAAGTAAGAGTTGAGCCTGCTGCAATAGCCAGAGCGAAGTTGGGCTATTGTAGTGCGGGTCTCCCGAGGTAGACAAAGTTCTGTCCCGTCCACGTCCGGTGGTTGTGTACCTAGAACGGCAGTCACAGGAGTTTACATAACTTGAGACTGATTCCCTGTGAATGCCGTTCAGGGCCTGTCGGTAGGTTGACGGGTCCAGAGGTTGTTTGATAAACCTCTGGACTTCGTCCGTCAGTTCGTAAAGATGCCTCGTGACGTGCCATGGCGAGGGCTCTTCCGCGAGCAGCTGCCCGCTGGGATGGTCACGTCTGTGGCTCCCAGCAAGGAACTGCTTGCAGAGCAATTTATTATGCTCCTTTACTGGGAACATCTGGGCCTCGTCATGTAGGTGGTGTTGGGGCGTCATCAGGAGGAATCCTGTCGCTGTTCGTAATGCCGTGTTTTGGCAGGTCTGTAGCTCCGTCCACTGCGTCCTGCTAGTCCCCGGCGATCATACGGACGCTGCATAGTTTAGAACCGGCCGGCCAATTGCCTTGTATGTTGCCAACAACGTTTCTTTATCTTTGCCCCAAGTGCTGCCGGCCAGCGACTTGATGACATTGTTGCGGCTCTGTACTTTGTTGACAATTGCGGTTGTATGCGCCGTGAAGGAGAGCAGACTGTCGAAGGTAACTCCGAGGATTTTCGGGTTATTCACCGTCGGTATTGTTACGCCATCGACGTGAATACCCAGTTGCAGTCTGACCTCCTTCGTCCAGGTGGTGAAAAGGGTTGCCGAGGATTTCGCAGGGGATAGGGCAAGGCTCCTTGCAGTGAAGAAGCGAGAAAGTTCGGCGAGGTAACCGTTTATTTTCGAGCACAAGTCATCAATTCCATTCCCAGATGCCATGATCGAACAATCGTCAGCATAGGAGACTATATTAACACCCTCTGGTGGCTGAGGAAGCTTTGAGATGTAATAATTAAACAGTAGCGGGGACAGGACACCACCCTGCGGTACCCCCTGTTTAATTTTACATGGCTTGCTAGTTTTGTCTCTGAAAATTACTGACGAGTGTCGACCACCCAGGTAATTCACCGATCACCGTTTGAGTCCCTGTGGGAGTGAGGAGGCCTCTATATCTTCTAGTAGCGTTGAATGACTGACAGTGTCGAACGCCTTGGACAGGTCCAACGTTACTAGAATAGTTCTCTCACAGGGGCGGTTTCGGTTTAGGCCACGAGTTATCTGAGTGTTTATGGCGTTAAGTGCTGTTGTTGTGCTATGCACTTTACGGAACCCTTGTTGATGCTTCGCTGGGGTCAGGTGCTTCATAAAATACGGGAGCAGCGGGGCCTCGAGTGTCTTCGCTACCGGGGAAAGGAGGGTTATCGGGCGATAAGACTCCTTTATTGGCTGGTTTCCCCGGTTTGAGCAGTGGGACCACTCTCCCAATTTCCAGATGTCTGGAATGACGAGAGTGAAAATAGATAGGTTGAGGACCTCCGTTAGGTACGCTACTCCCGCAGGACCCAAATTTTTCAGCATCAACATGTACATTCCGTCGGGTCCAATGGCTTTGGAGGCTTGCGCCTTCCCGATGGCTACCCTTACCTCACTGCTGGTGAAAACAAGAGGCGCACTGGGTTTTGGCATGTTGTGCAGCCTTCTGGTCCCTCGACGTTTGGCTTTATCCACCGGAGAATGCAGAATGAACTGCCGGCTAAAATAGGTCGCGCATCTCTCCGGGTCCGACGAAGCGTGGTCACCAAAGTCTATCTCGACTCTGTCGTCACGCTTCGCCGGGTTGGACAACGACCTCACGGTTGACCAAAGCTTGCTTACACCAGAGGCGAAGTTGCAGGACTTCAAATGCTCTTCCCATATCTTCCGCTTATGTTCGCTCACAAGTTGCCAAATCTCCGAATTGAGATCCCTGCCAGCCGCTTCAGCAGGAAAGTTCAGACGTGGATCCTTAATACAACCTGCTGGGATGAAGCGAGCTGCAGCAGCGGTGACAACCCTGCGGAACTTACGTCCACTTACATGAACGTCGGTTGATATGGGTAGTGCAGTGAAGGCGCCCTCAGTAACATTCGTGAAGCCTTTCCAGTCAGCATTGGAATAGTTCCGGTGATCCACAAAAGCAAAGTCGGCAGGTTTATCAATCGAGATGACTATGGGCAGATGGCCTGATGCTAGGGTCAGCATAGGTCGCCATGATACGCTGTTTATCAGACCAGCGCTGACAATTGTTAGATCGGGCGAGCTGCAGCAGCTGCCCATAATCCTGGTGGGTGCGTCGTCGTTCATTGTGCAGAATGTCAAATCGTCTATCTGTTCAGCCAGATGTATTCCCCTACAATCATTTGACAGGCTTGCGTGCCAAAGATCGTGGTGCGCGTTAAAGTCACCAACTACCATACGATTTTCACCTCTGAGTAGCGCACCTATTTCAGGGTGATATCCTGCCGGGCAGCTGGTGACAGGGGGTATGTATACGTTAAATATTTCGAGCTCAACATCGCCTGACCGGATAGCAATACCCTGACATTCTAGGATGGTATCCCTGCGGTCGATGTCTGCTTCAATAAGACGATACTGCACGGTGTGGTGCGTGATGAACGCTAAACCTCCACCATTATCTCGCTCGCGATCTCGACGGTGCACGTTGTATCCGGCGCAATTCAACAGGGTTGAATTGCCGTGCAGCTTCGTCTCTCCGACCGCAGCTATTAATATTCCATGCCTTCCCATAAAGACAGTTATCTTCTCGATCTTGCTCTGGAGTCCGTTACAGTTAAATTGTAGCACATTTGTGTGCCTTGGGAGACCGATTGTGATGTGTGGTGTTAAAGAGTTGTGTTGCTTGCTGTACGTGCTGCAAAAGGGGGTGCTGCCTTGTGATGGTGGTTAGCGACGTCGCGGGGGAGGGATGCGACGGGGCAGCACAGCAGGGGCCCACATAGTCACTCGTTCACGTGTTGCGAAGTCCTGAGTATGCCCTAAAGTGGCACCAGCCGAGGCAAGAGTTGCACTTGACTGATGTCACGTTACGGTATATTCTGGACTGACAAACAGAGCAGATTGTCGGAGGGACTAGGAGTTGCAGGCGGCGGTGTGTGGGTGCTATTGTGTTTGTTTGTGTGTCTATTGTTGTGTTGTGTTGGGGTGTGGGTGTGTTGATTGTGTGCTGCCCAGGCGGGTGGTGGTTTTCCGTGGAGGCGGTCCGGTTCGCACAGCATGGGGCCACGAACGACGTGCTCCATTGCCGGTGCGTACGTAGGCCCGAGCAGTTACGGAGGTGACTCCACCCGTCACAGGCATTGCACCTAACCGAGTTGGAGTTTGTATGCAGTCGTCTCTGGCATACGCAGCAGGTGTAGATTTCTGGCCCTGGGTTTGACTCTATACCAGCCCTGAGCAGAAGGGTACGGAGAAGATGTAGCCCTAGAATCGAGCAACCTAAACGGGGTTAGATCGCCGAAACAACAGCCCTTGGTCGGGTAAAACCCGAGTCATTCCGGTACATAGAACCGGCTGTCGTGGGTATGTTGTTTCTTCGGTAATTGTGTTTAGTGAAAACCTATTTCAAGAAAAAA